TTGATGAACTTCTTCATAATTGCTAATTTCATCATTAAGGGGTTACTCATTCAGAGGTTCCCAAACGTCCTGCGCAACTTCCCCTGTTAAACGTCCTACGAGCTAGTTTCGATCCCACAAGAATTACCTATTCAGATCTCAAAGCTCCAACCTATAAGAAGTACTCACATGCGATAGCCTTGCGTATAACAGTCCCGGTTTGCTCAACAGCATCAACAACTGGCGTACTTGTAGCCATTTCACCTACAGCAGCATCTAACCTCTGAAAATAAATTTTGCCTCTCACTTCTTATTGAACCTTGAAGCATTTTGTACCCTGAGTTAAGCTTTTCAAATGGTAGTTGAACTAGAATTCGCTAACCCGGAAATCTCAACAACTCAGAACTTACATTATTAGAGACACTCTCAGAGCACTTCACAATAGATACGTCAATCTTCCGCAGTGGTGCAAAAGTGTGATTGGCCAAACTCTGTGGGGTAGAGCAACCTTGCCCAATTCCGCCCCTGCGATGACGTCGCAACATTTCCATCGCCTTCTCTCAGAGTATTGTCTAGCAGGTTATCTTGAGAATCTGAAGATGACCTTACAACAGTAGATATCATCATAAAAGAAAAAAATCAGGAACAAACCTGACGCTGCATTATCAAGCTCTACCACTTGTGAGTCATCCTCGGACGTAGACTCATATGCAAACGTTCGGGGTTTAAACTCGGGACAAGGGTCGTTGAACACGTCGTGGTACCCACCAAGAGCCATTTCCTCCTGAAGAGAGCAATTTCCATATTACACAATAGCCCACAATTATATCCTGTAAATCATTCTACCTCGTGAAACTGTTGTTGCCGCTCCTTCAAACGCTTCAGGTCCAAAGCTCTCTGTTCGGCAGTCGTCAGCCTTTTCGTGTTCCTTCGAGGGGTTCCAAAGTTCGGAGCCTGAACGATGAAACCACGGAATGAGCGAACGGCTGAATCATATTTCCTAATGAAAATATACTCTGGCTTCAATATACCGGGGAGTTTACGCTCGTTGAGCTGAGAGTTGAGTTCATGCTGTCCTCCTGGCTGATATCGCAATTCAGATAACGGGCTTGGAGCGGATGCACGATTTTCTGAAACAACAATCGTGCCAGGCATAAGGGCAGATGGCCATTCTACTTCAGCTATCTGGTACTATAGCCACACGGGATGGCTGGTTTAACACATTGCGGACCGTCGTTGTATGAGCACCTTCGTAGTAAACCTCCGGTAAGACCCGGCGATTGCGTCGCCTGTAAGCTGTGTACTGTACCGGCGACGGAATCGCCGGCGGCTCCGTCGCCAGCACTCCGTCGCAGGTGTACAGCGACGCAATCGCCAAGTCTGACCGAGTTCTCAGCTATCTGGTACTGATAGGCCACCGGGATGGCTGGTTTGAAGAAGACTTACCCAATGAAAGGAAGCCAACTGGATATAATGTTACCTCAATGAAACGTATTTACAAGGGTACTCTATAAAAAAAGGAAAAGAACGATTTTGGCTCCTCAAATGGAGAAAAAAATGCAGACCCACCCAAAGCAAAAACTGGATCTCTGGAAAAAACACCAACCAACCTTTCCTCGAAGGACAGGATTCCTGATGGGCTGACTTTTGAGCTCTCTTATTATGGCATCGACATCCATCCTAGGCGGGCGTGTCACTTGCCCAGACGGTCCTTTTCCACCGTCGACTTCCATGTCGTTTTCGGTCATTTCCAATAGGATCTAAGAAGTAAAGCAATAATTGCAATCATAATTGTGTAGCACATAAGGAAGTTGAGAGATCTCATTCACTTCCATTTCTGAGCTGCTTCACGAACCGCTCTTTGCCGTAATGAATGAGGTTCGAAGCAGAACTAGAGCTTAAAATGCCGCCGACAAAACCAGCAAGAAACTCTACGCAAAATCTAATTACGACGAAACTAAACATCAGAAGAGCATGCAAGTGTCTCGCAACTCAAAAAGAAATTGGACCAAAGAAGACTTTTTCGCGGAATTGGAGAGATTCAGAAACAAAGATCTTCTGGCATCACCTTAAAAGAAAATTAGAAGCTTATACTGGCAACTAACAGATGGAAAATAGGATTCAAGCACCTTCGTTTGAATCCGTCTGAAGTGATTTTTAAGCTGTATCTGCCATGTCATTTTTTGCTGCCGAACAAAATTTCAATTTCTCAATGAAGGAATCCCCGAGGTGCCGTGATTCCGCTTTCCCGCTTCTATAACCAAGGTTCTTCCCCTTTGCGAAAAAAATAGATTCTCCTATCGCCATATAACCAGTCTCAAGTCGGATTCTACCCCTCTCCTTTTTACTGGATGAGACCCAAGAAAGTTTACAGCAGGTTTTTTTTTTAGCAATTAATTGAATAAGTGCGAGTTAGAAGAAGAATCGGATCGGAATCGATTTGAAAAGCAAATGTTCGCGCGGCTACGCGATGCTGCGGTCGCACGAAAACTCGTACCGGGCGGCTAAGCGACCGACTCCACCAGACATGCCACAATACTCCAGACGAAAGCACACAAAATGAGACCTACTCTATGAAGTGGCCGATGGTCAGTATCAGTCAGTATCGGTATCCGAAAAATGAACATGGCATGGTATTGAGTCCTCAAGAGTCTTCAAGATGAAATGAAGGCTTCAAATGGAACGATTTCAAGGTCAACGTCTTCACCATCGCTTGCTTATACCCTGAATGGTGATTCACATTCTGTATCAATTTTGAAGAGCAGTGTTGGAATAAGCTCAATAGAGACACACTGAACCGTGTATTACCGGTCTTCGCAAGGAGGCGGCCGCTGTCGCGCGACGTGGCGGGCGGCGTTGGTGGACGAGACGCCACCGCACATTTCACTTTTGGCCGTGGCGCGCGGGAGATATTCAGAACTTCGAATATACGGCGAATAGTTTCTATTTTTTGTTTGTTTATTGTTTATCTACCTTTTTGTTCTCCTCGTTCCTCAAAATGCTCTCTTACATTAGAGTCTTCCGTAAAGAACTTTTCGGTGTTTAATGCTCCCATTCCTTGGCAAGTTTCATTGATTGTTGATGGCTCAATGTATTTGCTTGCGATGATTTTCTTCTCAAATTGTTTGTCTTTTCTTTGTCTGATTGTTTGAAATGGATGAGAGCAGGAAAATATCTCGAAAATTATGTGGACAACCAGGAATCGAGTGGTAGCATGAAAGCTGAACGATTCAGTCCTTGAATGTAGTTCTTTTAATCGTTTGTATTGATACTCAAGTGTCGAAACTCAATACTATTATTCATGCGGTTGTATCCTGACTGTGATCGTGTTGCTAGTAAGAGAGCATAGACGTATTCAATCTTGTAACGACGTTTCAATGTTCTTCGTCGTTCTCGGGTTTTCACAGTCAAATCGCTAGTGTTTCACCCCAATGGCAATCTGTTTCAGGAATGTACTCGCCACTCTTAAATCGGTCTACTGCCATGTCGGCTGCAATGGAGACTTCGTCGGTGGACAACAGTTCGACAGCAATGCAGAAAAAGGTAATCGAATGCCCATTTCAAAGTGCTAGGAATAATGTATTGTATTACCTTACCGATTGAGTTTAATGTTAGCATCTAGTCGATAGCTTGTTCACGAAGGTGCTGGGTATTTATGACCTGGTCGAAAATAAATCCTCCTTTTCTCTTTATATAGAAAATGGAGGCGCAATGCGCCTCCGGGGACCGGTTTAACAGGAAGGCCACTAGGATTAACCATAAGCTCAACGGAGAGGGACGAATTACGGAGAAGCTGAGGATCGCTTACGCACTTCAGATTCCCTCTTCTCCTCTAAGGCTTGGTCCTAAAACTGAGTGTTTCTGTGAATTAATGCAATTTTTCGGGCTGCCCCCTCCGGAACCACATTGCGCCAAATGGCTCTTAAAATTAATGCAAGAATATGTCTCTTGTGGTTACTATCAAAGGGTGTCTGTTGTTAAGG